CCGGTGCCCCCACCGGGACGCGAAACGGCGACCTTCTTGCTGCGAGGCGACTGTTATTTATTGTATTTTTTAAATAGGTGCATCTAAATGAAATACCTTTCTTGTTGAGAATCCTGCTAATTGAATAGCGTCTGATTTAATGTCCAGTGTGGAGGATTTTTTGGGCTCTAGACAGAAATGTTAGAAAGCATACATAATCATTTTTATTTGTGTAGAATCCTCTTAAAATAACAATTGTTTTGTTTTCATTATCTAACATTTAGCTCTTTATATTAGTTCTAAAGAGGGCCTTTCTCATTTTTAGTGGTCACTGTTGTATTCTCCTGCACACTTGGAAGGTGATGGATATTCATTTAAGTTTCCTAAATCCTACACACTGGTCCTTTAATATGTGCTATTATAGAAATAGTCTTTATCACAACTCCCACTTGTTGTAGCTTGTTTCCTCTTTCTGTATTGTGTGTTGTTGTGTGTTTCAAAGTCCACAATATGACAGGTTATTTACATACTGCAGTCTTGCTACCAATGCAGACATCTCTATTCTTGGATATACTGAATTGTACATAAAGAGAATAGCAAATGCTACTTTTGTTGCTCCTAAATGCATCTGTATTACAGTATGGTTATTTTGGAATTAGATAATAGTTCAACATTTGAGCAATTGCCCTCACATGTTTGACTATTTCATTGCTGCTCTTTGATAAAATGGCCTGTTAGAACACAAACTAAATCAATGTGATCGGTAGTTGAACATAGTCACTGCTTTATGCTGCACTATATTGTATCATGTTGTCATTTAAATGTGTTTATTGGCTTAAATGTACAATAATAAAAATGCTGACAGTGTAAAATAAATAACTGGACTTCTGCTGCTCCATATGGAACCACAAACTCTTATTGGTAAGCAAGACTTAATCCCTTATTTATGTTAAAGAGAAACTACCACCTTCTTGTAAGATAGATAAAAGACTAATAAAATAGTGGTCTTTTACATTTCCCTCCTTAACGATGCTGTTCACTGTAGAGACCAAAGCTAAATTGTGTGTATCATGAGCGGAATCAACAAATAACCAAATTTTATCAAGAGTCTGCCCCATCACCTTGACAACTCATCCAGGCAGCAGTGTGGAAAGGGAAAAAACTAGTTACAAGAGCCCAAACATAGCAGAAAGCCCAAATCCTAAACTGAAAAGATTGTTTTTGTTTGCACTTTTGGAAATTAACATTGTAGCATGATAATTAAAGTTTAGAAGAAGAGCTGAATAAATACTTTGATTTGATTCTAGGGCCTCCTAAAAAGCTTTTTGATGATCACTGACTTAAAAAAAAAAAAAAACTCTCAACAGCATCATGAAAGTAAATCTTTGTCTGGGAACTTTTAATTTAGACCCGGTGCCTTCGGTGTAAAAGTTGATTGTCTTGTCCCTCTTTGTGGTCATTTTCCCAGTTTCTCTGAAAGACAATTCACTGTTTGGGATGAAACAACGTGTAGATCACTGTACATTAAAAGCCATTAAAGATTTGACACTATTTCTGATCAAGGTTACTGTTGGGCTGCCATATTTGTTTTGAATTGAGGCACAGTGCAGTCAGCTGTTGGGATTTATTGTTTAAGTCTAGTTTGATCAGCTTGAATGCAGATTGTCCTGGTAGGTCATTAAGATCCGTCACTTATTTTTTTTTTATCATTTTGCAGTACTTGCACTTTTGTATTACTGTGTCACAAACATGTACTTGAATTCACTGTTTCAATGTACATTCAGTACTGAATTTAAGTGTCTACCTTCAATTTGGAGTCCAGGGTGTGATTTGTTGTCTAGAGAATCTTATGAGGAGTCCAGTTGCCAAGCTGAGCTGTTGGCCTTGTGTCTGTTTTAATAATATGTGAGTAGGCCTAAATGTGAGTCTTCTATAGGTACAGTCAGAGCTTCTTTGATCAAGCTGCTGGGTAGTTAACATTTCATAGCAAAAGCCCTCAGTTTTTGCATTTCTTTGTGGTCAATTTATCTCTCTATGTGATCTTCTTGTTTGATTGTTTTGTTGCATTTAGTCGTCATTTTTATTCTTTCTGTAGTGATTTTGCACCTTATTGTTTTTTTCTTTTGAATCTTTTTTGGCCATTTTTAAAGTTTTTGGTGCTTTTGTCTCTGTTTGTGATCGTAGGTTATTTATTTTTTTGATCGTTAAATGTCTTTTTTGTATGAAGGGACATGGAGAAAGAAAATAAAACATGGAGAAGAAAAAGAAAAAAATAGAGGTATCTTTTGCGAGATCTCGCAAAACTTTCTCGGGATCTCACAATAACGTTCTCGCGATTTTCGCTATAACTTTTGCAAGATGTAGCAAAACTATAGGTATAGAGTCTTTTTGGCAGAGAAACGACAATGGAGGACACCCACCTGTACGAGATTTTTATATTTTTTTTATTTCGAAATGGCCGAAAATATAAAGACATTCAAGCAGTGCTTAGCAAGAGGCACAGTTTTCACAAAACGTCCAGTAAGATTGATGTGACTTTTGCGAGATCTTGCAGAAGTTTTTGCGAGATCCTGAGAAAGTTTTGCAAGATCCCGAGAAGGTTTTGCGAGATCTTGCAAAAGACACCTCTATTTTATTTATTTTTTTCTCCGTGTCCCTTCCGGGGCTCTGTATTTTTGTGGCTATTTTGCATTGCTTAATAAAGGTACTTTTTGTTTTGCATCTTTTTTTTGTTGCATTGTTGCTGTGGTAGTTTTACATTTTTGTTGACATTTTACATTTCTTCATTCATGTTAAAACTCTTCATGTGGTAGTTTTACATGTTTTTGGTGTAAATTTATATTTCTTTGATGTTTTAAATTGTTTTTGTGTTAGTTTTGTGCGTCTTTGTGGTCGTTTTTCTTTCCACCGCTCTGACCGTTGGTGTCGCCATGGAGCCGGGCCGGTAGTGGGCGGTCCCTTGGCGACTGCTCTCTGATTGGTCCGTCATTCAGCGCCTCTCTTCCTCATCAGTGAGTCCGTCGAGAGCGGTCGGTGAATGCTGAAGCTGCTGTCCGTGCCTTGTCAACGCTCCTTTCACGAGTAAGTACCGCAAGACAGCTTGTGTTCAATATATTTTCTCGAAGACAAGACCCTGCCGTTGCCGCTCGAGTAGTGTCACGGTTTGTTCCTGGTTGTGAGCTGCGAAGGACACGCAGGTAACATCCCGCTGTCGGTTGTATTCCCACCATAAAGTCCTGACATTTCAGTGCCAGTCTCTTGCAGCTGTGCGCTCTTGTGTTAAACAGGCAGAAGCGACTCGTTTTCTGAGTTTCATCGCGTTAGTTAATTTCTGGCCAGCCTGCTCCTCAGTGGGGAGCCTGGGGGTGATGCAATACGCGCAGAGGATGTCCATCCCTCTCATATGGTTTGTTTAGGCGCACCACGTTATGAAACGCATTTTTGGCTCCGACCACCCGGCTGGGGTTGGAACCGAGCTCCGGCGATGCAGAAACGTTTGCACATAGGTATTCCACTGAATAGATGTGTTTGCTGCTCCACTGGATAAAAGACATTCACTGCACACAGGGCTTAGTTGAGTAATGAAGTCAGGCAGCTGCTGCGTAAAACCACACATCTCTCGTTAAACCAACAGATGCATCACGGGACCCTGCTAATGACAATCTGATTTACCCTCAGATGACTTTCCTGTGTTAACACATAGTTTTCGCCTGAAAGCTTCAGCCTTCAATCTGTGCCATCAGACTTGTAAATCCAGTTGAAAAACACTGCTGCTGCTGCTGCTGCTCTCATGCTGTACGCTTTTCTTTTTTCTTTTCTCAGCAGGATGACAACTCTTTCACAGACTAAGGAACTCTTCAGGAGGGCAGAAGCTGTCTGTTTTGATGTGGACAGCACGGTCATCAGAGAAGAAGGCATCGATGAACTCGCCAAATTCTGTGGTGTGGGGGATGCAGTCACTGAGATGTATGTGTGTGCATGCTGTCATCACATTTAATCAAATTAAACTACTGTATTCCATATGTATCTGGATTGTTGTCAAGAAACTGGATTTGTTAAGTCATCTTGTGTTGCTTTCATGTTCCAGGACTCGCAAAGCAATGGGCGGCTCAATGACGTTTAAAAAGGCCCTGACTGAGCGTCTTTCCATCATCCGATGCTCCAGAGAACAAGTAAACAAACTGATAACAGACCACCCACCTCAGCTGACTCCAGGTGTTAGGTGAGTGTGTAACGAGTTTGTTTAGTTCGTCATTCAGTGGACCTTGTATTCCAGAAATATTGATGAGCAAAGCAGAGTGTGAAGAACAAACTGTTATATTTTTTACAGCACACAGGCAATTTGTATGTCTGGAAGTGGTTTATATCAAAAAAATAAAAGAAAATACCCAAGCTTTTGACGTATGTTCCAAGCCTTCGAACACACAATAGCTAGACAGTGTCTGGAATTGTCTGAAATATAATTTTACTTGCAGCATAAATGTTCCTACATGACACGTTACTTTTCAACATTGAACCATGATCAGATTAATTTAGCCAAAAAATTACAAAAAAAATGACTCTTTCATGACAAAGTGAAAACACATTTCTACAAAGTAATGTCAATTAATTTAAAAATATAAAATTTTAAAAAAAATTTATTGCGTAAGTATTCAGCCGCTTTAAAGTGACTCGTCTAATTCAACACAGGTGCAGCCAGTTCATGCTATAAGCCACACAGTCAGTGAAATGGAGATCATCTTAGTGCAGTGAATGTGTCTCATGTGATTGAAGTATAAAGACGCCTGTATGTGAAAGGTCCAGCCACTGGTGATTCAGTACTCCTGGTTATAACTACACCATGAGGACAAAAGAACACTCCATGCAACAACATGACAAGGTTAATGAAAAGCAGAAGTCAGGGGACAGATACAAGTGCTTAAAAGAGACTCATGAGGGAGACCACCAAGACACCTATGAGTCTCTGAAGGAGTTACAAGCTTCAGTGACAAAGATGAGAGAGACTGTGCATACAACAAATGTTGCCCAGGTTGTTTACTAGTCAAAGCTGTATAGGAGGGTGGCCAGGAGAAAGGCACTGTTCAAAAAAAGGTCATTATGAACCTCAGCTAGAGTTCACCAGAAGGCACGCGGGAGACTGGGGTCAACTGGAAGAACATTCTTTGGTCTGATAAGACCAATATTGAGCTTTTTTGGCCATCAGTCTCAACGCTAAGTTTGGCAAACACGAGACACTGCACATCATCACAAACACGCCACCTCTACCATGAAGCATGGCGGTAGAAGCATCATGATGTGTGGATGCTTCTCTGCAGCAGCCCTGGAAGGCTTGTGAATGTCAAGGGTAAAATTAATGCAGCAAAATATAGGGAAATCCTCAAAGACAACCTGATGCAGTCGGCAAGAGAACTGCGACTTGGGCGAAGATTTGTTTTTGAGCCAGATAACTTAAAGCACATAGTCAGAGCTACACAGGAATAATTTACAGACAACATGATGAATGTTGCGGGCTGAGTTGGAGCCCAAACCTCAATCCAATTAACAACTTGTGGTGAGATGCAAGTAAAAAGAAAAGCTGCTTCCTTCTAAAGTGAGTGTTGATATATGTGCATTTATTTTTGTCCAGGGAGCTCGTGGACAGTCTGCACCAGCGCAACATCAAGGTGTTCCTCATTTCCGGTGGCTTCCGCTGCATTGTTGAGCATGTGGCCACTCAGCTAAACATTCCTCTGCATCACGTCTATGCCAACCGGCTCAAGTTCTACTTCAATGGTAAAAGCCAGTGGAAGGGCATTTGACTTCATAGGAGTGGACCGTTGTGCATGTCTGAACAAAATAGAGCATAAAACAATCCAGTAGTAGCCCTTTGAGTAGATTAATATCAAACTGTTTACAAACCCGTCCCTTAGGTCTTCTACTTTCAATCGAATTGTCTGTGCTCTTGTGTCTGCTTGTTTGATTAAATTCTGAATATAATTCTATCTTTGTTCCAGGAGAGTATGCTGGTTTTGATGAAAGTCAGCCCACAGCTGAGAGCGGTGGAAAAGGAAAAGTGATCAGCATGCTGAAGGAACAATACGGCTTCAAGACTGTGGTGATGATCGGAGATGGAGCCACTGATCTAGAGGCCTGCCCTCCGGCTGTAAGTGTTCACATCCTGCTGATGTATTTTTTGAAGCCTGAGCATATTGGAGCTGCAGTGTGATTACAACATTTGTCTTTTGCCCACAGAGCGCTTTCATTGGATTTGGAGGGAACGTCGTCAGGCCGCAGGTGAAGGAGAGGTCTTCGTGGTACGTCACCAGCTTTGGGGAGCTATTAAAGGAGCTGGAGAAGATTTAGAGATGCTACAAGACTACTGTTGTTAATTTAACATTTTATATTTGCACCTAAGGGTGTGTCACTGACGGTTATATCCAGTGCACATTTTTCCTTAGACTCCAGTAGATTTTTATAATAAATAAAAATGTTTACACTAATGAGACCAATTTTACCTTAATAGGGATGGTGCCCTATTGATTTTTATACTAGAACAGACTAAAAAAAAATAACCAGACACTGTCTGTGTGGAGGGTAAGGAGAAGATTTTAGTGTTTTTGCACTTTTTACATCGAAGCATTTAGGTAAGCTAATACAACCCGAGCATTTATGACATGTGCAATGAACTGTAGGAGTATTGTAAATCTGTGTGCTGTAATAAGAGATGTGGTGACTTCAGTCCATCAAAGATGAGAACATGCTGTCAAGGATGTTGTTTGAACGATTTTAATCTGTGTTGGCGTTCTTGCTCCCCTCTTTACATCGTTCCTGCTGAATAAAAAGACCAGATAAACATGCTTCCTTTAACAATAAAACCTCTATTACAGTATGAAGCAGCACGACTGTCTGCTTTGTAGCAGCTTCTCTCAGTCACTGATAAGTACCACCGGTTTTCACGTTATCATATATGGGTCATAGGATTGCTATTCCCCATTAAAACATGTTGGGTAAAAACAGATTTTAAAACCAGGCATGCTGTCTTCACAAGAAAAAAGTGGAAGCCATAGTTACAAACACGGCACCATGAAACGTTACCATGACAGGGAATCTAGGAACATCTAGGAAAAGAAACTGAAAGGAGTAATTTGCAAAACAATGTCTGATTCATAATAGACATCAAATATAAAATGATGACTTAATGTCATGTTATGATAGGTGACAGAAATACAGTTTTTATTGATATACAGAGACTTTCTCTATTCGGTCAGCAATGGCATGGCTTCCATCAAAGTGCCTTTTTTTTTTCCTCAGCACACTTTAAACAACCAGTTATGTATTCTAAATGTACATTAAATAAATAAAAAGCCACTGCATTGAGCAGAGTGTATCAGCAGTACTATATTCATCTCTGTTCCCACATTTACACACCATACAGCTGCTCGATTTTTATTTTTTTCAAGTAACTTTGGTTGGTTTTAAACTCAGAGATGAGCTCTCTTCATGGACCAGTTTTAATGTGGCACGGGATGTCTGACATAACCACCATCAGGAGTAAGTTTAAAGTGGTTAAATTTACTCATCCCACTCCAGAACCGAAAAACAAAAACAGAGTTGTGCATCGTCAAGTGCCTCGGTGCCTTTCAGTAACTTAAATTCAGATAAATGGCAGGTCTCTGTCCGAGTAACATCTTGAAGTAACAAAACAAAGACGAGAAAAGGGAAGGGATGTTGTTTGGCAGCACTGACAGGAGGCTGAACTCATGAATGGAGATGCTCTGGATGGATGTAACATTCAAACGGGTGCCACTCAGTTCCAGCTTCCAGCTCGCTTCTCATTTCACTGCAGTGGGGAAGCCTTCGTTGGAGTCATAATTCTAGAATCCATGTGCTGAATGAGAGGAACTGCAGGAAGGTAAAAAGTGAAGATTTAAATCTGGGATGAGGTTCAGCAAACTCTAAATGTGATTAAACAAGTTGGCAACACTGTAAAAAACTAAAGGGAAAGCCTTTGATCGATTCACAGTCCCATAGCTTTGAATTTTAATCACCACATTGTTTAGAAATGATTTGCTCACCTGTGTAATACACCACCTCTTGCCAGCCCTCCTCCTGCCAGGCAGCATTCCTCGTGTCTTCTCGGGACTGGAGGTCTTTGTAAGCTGCACGCAACAAATTATATTTCATATATTTCAACTTAAGATAAATGCATCAGAAGTCAGTAATAATTTATTCCAGATTCCACCACCAGAACCTGGCATCTGTTTTTAAATTGTCAGATTACCCACTGAAGTTTCAAAAAACCAAAAAAAATCTGGACACCTGGGAGCAGCTGTAAATTAAAAATCAATCTGTTCAAAATTAAATCATTGTACCAATTTTAGCAAACACAAGCAGACACACACAGCATAATGCGCAATCATTTCAAATCATGCTGGTTTCCACTCAATGAAATCCAAAAATGTTACCCCCTTTAAGTTTTGTTATATAAGAAGAAATCTCTTTTAGCTGCTGCAATGTGTTCATCTTCTAGTCGCTCATGTCATTTGCTGTTCGGAGCAGATAGCGTGATGGTGTACTGAGGGTTTTCTGATAACAGCTGTCTGCTAAAGCTGTGAAAGCAGCCAGAGTGAACCCAAAAAAAAAGCAGTTATGGTAGAAGAGCTAAAGTGCTCTGGAGAGCTGAGAGGAAATGTGATAATTAAGTGTTTTTATTTATTCCTTAAAAGCAACCCAGTTCACATCACACATCTGATCAACTGCTGGTTTAAAAATAGCACTGTCTTTAAGTGTAAATAATGTCAGAAAATGGCAAAAAAAAACTACTGAACTGAAATGAAGAAGCACATTTTTGGCACATTTTTTCTTGATGAATGACTAAATGACTTCAAATCAGTCGTCATTAACTTTCTGTGGAGCAACTAGGGATTTCAGCACCAGCATGATTATCTAAACGGCGGCACAGCTGATGTGTAATTTTGTAAAAAGCTGGTATTTAACCGTACCCCAGAGGTGATGGACCATGTAGAGGTTACCGATCTGTGAGAAAAACCCTCCCACAGCTTCTCTGTTGTGCTGGCGTAATCCAATGGCTCTGGCCCTGCAGAAAAAAAGCAACTCAGGTCACAACACACGGGCCAGAAAACACCAGGGCTTCAACTAGCAGAACAAAACCAAGACTGCACACGTGAGATGTTTGACAAGCCCTCAACGAAGGATGCTGATAAACTATGAATTTATTCTGGAATGTTTAGTTCACTCAACTGTATTTAGTCTGTCGAATTTAACACAAGCTACACGATGGTCTTCCATAGCCTGTGATCATGATTTGTAACATCATGTTAAGATATAAGATGACGCCATAGCTTTGTGAGTTTATGAATCTAAACAATGGCCAAGTCTTTCTGAAATGAGTGTGAGCACGATGTTTTAATCCATCATATTTCTCCCTAAAGCCTATTTAAATTATAATCACTGTCTGGATACAAAACTGTGAAGCCTCAGTTCTTCACGTTGCTATAATATGAAGCAGAAGTTTAAGCCATCAGCTACACAAAATGTACTTAAATTGCTTTAAATAGCTTTGCTGGCCTTCTTTTCATTTACTAGAGGTTTGTTCAAATCGAGACACGTTTACATAAGCAAAAATGCAAAAATAAGGAAAGAAAAAAACTTGATATAAGAAAAAACTTGTCTCACAGTGGTATTTTTTTCATCATAATCACATTTATGCTGTTTTTTTTAAAAGGTGCAGTGTGAAGAAGAATTGCCACCGCATATTATTTAAGGGGTTTCGGTTAAATTAACAAAGCGAAGAGTTGACGGTGCAATTTACACTGGAACCATCTGGAGCAGCCAAACATGTTGTGGTATGTATTCCAGTGGATTAAATGGTCACACGAGCAGAAAGACCAACATAAAAAATGTATACTGAAAGCTGATCCAAAACTCACATCCTCGTTTTAATTCATCGCAATCTGCTGTGTTGTACCAACTGATAAATGCTGATCTGTTGGTTCCGTCAGCTCATGCAGCAGATCTTTCCAGGATCAAATTACTCAACTATTATGTACACGCGTTTGTAGTGTACACACTATTCCGCTAAAATATGAATCTTGGCTTGAGGGCATGACAGTACAGCTTCAAATATAGGGCCTCCCTGTGGAATTGCTCTTATTAATGATGATGAGAAAGGTTTCATGTAGTGCAACAGCTCTGTAACTACAGTTCAGAGAATCAAATGAATTTAGGCTGCCTTACCAGTAATTACCCCACTCGATCATGGTTCCTGGCTGCGGGACAGAAAACACAATATTCTTTATTACAATTAAACATACATGACGGAGGGTTTTCCAAACTTTTTTTCTACCCAGAGCAAACATATTAATGCAAATAAATGGCAAAGATGTAGCACAGGTATTTTGTCATTGTGAAGATAAGCTGCAATAACAACTACACCCGAAGGCTTCTTCAATCATTCTCCGGTGCTTAAGAAAACAAACGCCCTGCGGGTCCTGGGATATAATCTCAGGCTGTGATGAGGGATAATAGCTTGTATTCATCATGCGTTGCAGGGCGCAGTGATCTATAGACAGTTTGGTCTTTTAGATTAGAAAGAATGACTTAATCTGCAGGAGATGGTGTGGTTTGCTGCAACTCATTTAGGCTTCATAGACGGTATAACGATGCCCCTTCTGTAAGTCCATAAACATACACACATGAAGTGAACTTGTGGGGAAGAAAAAATAAATAAATAAATTACACAGATATTGACTTTTTGCTCTCATCTCTGACTGCTAAAGACACAGGATCGTCACATGTGTCTAACAGTAGTTTTGTGAGGGTGGAGGTAATTTAGAGGTCACAGAAGGTAAACATGTGATTGAGGATATCATCAGTTTAAATGCGAAAACATGAGCCACAAAAGTTAAAGAGTAAAACGACCCCTTTCTGCAACAACTGCACAATTAAGCCCTCAAGTTCCAAATGCTGCAACAAAGCAGTTCAGCAAAGAACTGTCTGTGTTTGTACTGAATTATTCCTAATTGTGAACAATGTGTTTGTGCACCCTGATGCAGAAGAGGGAATATTAGCTCTGTCACTTACATCATGCTGTTTCTACATTAAACATTAGCTTGCTGGTCTGGGTTATGTCTGCTCATGCAGTTTACAGTTTAATAATTTCGTCCTGGGAGCTCTGACTAATACTGAGCTGTTTTGCTAATGTAGCAATCTTGCAGTTTAAAAATTACAAGCAATTACCTCAATACAAACAGCTACACTGATATGAAGTTTTAAGGTGGAGAAGATGTGATCGAAAAACAGAGACATGAGTCAAATTAGGCATTTGAATGGGACATTTTTAAACTAACGACAAACTAAACAATGGATCAGCATAGACCCGTTAATGGGAACTGTAATGAACTGGGTGTGACTAATTATGATTAAATATAGTTATTTTTGGCGGAGTCCTTCAGTGTTTCTGCTATCAGCTCCATTTATGCCGTCATGACGGGCTACAGACTCTGTTTTAGTGCCACAGAAATCCCTCATGTGGGCCTGTATGAAAATTATTCTGGCTCAGATTGCAGAAAAATCACAGCACTAGTATTAGATATCAGACTTCCATCAAACGAAAACACTGATGCACTTGTGATGCTGATGCAGCTCCTACTCACCCTGAGCTGGTAGGTCCTGAGCTCATAGATGTTGGGTCCCTCTCGGGGTACAGGCTCGTTCCAGAAGCTAAACTCCAGGAGAAGCTGATTCCTGCGGGACAGCAGCATCTTACCCCGCTCCTTCCTGTACGCTGTGAACTCCTGACAGCAAACGGACACCAATCAATAAGCTTTACATCAACCCAAACTGCAAACACCATTAACAGCCCTGCTGCTGCTGCTGTTAAGACAGTGAGCAGGAGTGAGATGCATGTGAAATTATGTTCACCTTGTTCTGCCTGAGCTTGTTCATCACCTCTGTTAGAGCTGGATATCCACCTCTGTAACGCCACAGGTGAACTGAGGAGACAACACGTGATCACTACAACATTACATCAACCATCTTTAAAATGTAGTTTTACAAGAATAAGAAGCTCATAAAAACCTGCCACACATGTATAGTGATTACTTTCATAGGTGTGAATCTGCGGTATAACAAGGCTGTTGACTGCTGACTGTGCAGATTACAGACCTGTTAGACTGCAGAAGTCTATGTGTGTTAATATAAGTAATCCTACCAGCCTGGTCTTGTTCTCCATACCAGGTATTCCAGGTCCCCACCAGCTCACAGGGGTAGTACTTATCAGCATGGATGGAGGGCAAAACATCCTCACTGTGACAAATCACAAACCAAACACTGAAATACGGTATGCAGCATTCGACAGTTAATTAAAATCTGCTAAACAGTTTATTGAAAACTGCTGAAGCAGCAATTAAAATAATAAAATCTAAACAACGATCTCATGTTTTCTGTTCATGTGCCGTCTGTCTTATGTTGCACGTCCCAAATTAGTCTCAAGTACGAGTACACAACGTCCAGTCATCTTAGGTATGAGCAAGGTTGTTCTGTGAAGGACTGAGGTCCTCCTGCTGGCCTGTCAATCACCTCACAGGAATAGACTGCTCTGAAATATTTTTATAGCTGTCCTGGTGTCACACTCGTCTTAGTGCTCACACAACTTGACTACAGTTTCAAAACATTATACACTCGTTGACACTCACCAGAGTTTGTTGTATGCATCCAGGCACTCCGGCTTGACATTATGGACTGAAAAGGAAAGCGTCAGAAAAAAATCTCTTTATTTTCGTAGGACAGAGTGTTAACCTTGCGCTGATATTCAGAAGGCGACTTACACTGAATTTTGTAGAGGTTACTCTCCTCGTTTTTGGTCAGTAAATTGGCGTGTGCGTCTTTTCTGGGGTCGACTTTCCTCACAAACAGCGACTTAAACCAGCTGTCCTCTCTGTTTCTGCTGCTGGACGTTGCAAACCCTCTGCAAACACAAGAAGAGTCACAGTGATGAACGATAAATGGATGGAGTGTCCTGCTTTCACACCAGATTACATGCACACACACACAAACTTTATCTTTTTCTGGGCTTTAGTGGTTTATATGATGATACTTAAGGAAAGATCTTATCAAAATGCAGCCTAAGCCTAAAATGTCAATACCTCTGATACATATACTACACACATGGTGATGCTGGTGTGCATGAAACACAGCATCTCAAGCCCTGCAAGCTGTTGATAAGATATAAACAGATGCACCAGATTTTGCAGTGCAGATTAATAAACTATCAAATTGACCTTGAGCATTTAGAGGCTCACTAACAAAAGGTGACAGAAACTTGTGTTCTTTCCGTTTCACCAACAAACACACGGAGACTAAATCGTAAATATCCTGTGATAAATAAATGAAAGGTGCAGCAGTTTCAGAGTGAGTTAAAGCTGAAGGCCACAGAGGAGAGAGTGGCTAGCAGCAGATAAGGGGCTAGCTTGGCCAGGCTCATCGTAGCCACAACACAAAACCAGCAGGAAATAACACACAACAAGCGACATGAGACGCTGCACGGACGAATACTGGACATACGCACTGGTAACCGGCTTACCTGCCCCAGACCAGCAGCTGTCCGGCCGGGTGGGCCCCGCTTTTTGCCCGAGCCAAGCCGCCGCGGACTCTCTGAAGGACTCCAGTCGCCATCTTCAACGGTGCTAAAGCTCCGAGCAGCTGTGACGGCGGCTGACCAGCAGGGGGCGGCAGAGCTGCGCAGCCTCACAGCGGCGCTCTGCTTATAAGTTACAACAGCAGAGGAAGAAAACACGTGACAGTGATGTATTCTGATTACTGGGAAATGTAGTCAGGTACTGAATACAGATTCTAAACTAAATAAATTTAAATTAAAACCTAAATAGTTGGGGAACAAAAAGTGTATTCTAATTTCAATACTTTTGCATGTATAATACTAATTATAATAACTTTCTTTAATAATTTTTCAAAAACAAAGATTTACAAAGTGTTTTAGCCCACAAAACAAAAGAATGCAACATAACAATTAAGACAAAGTTAAAACAAACAAGAAAAAATACACAGCTAAAAATGCAAAATGCAGCATCATTATTATATTAATAAAAACAAATAAAAAACTATTAAAGCAACAGTCAAGTTATGTCATCATTATTTGTACAGCTCATTTAAACCACAGCTTTGAGGTGCCATCCAGCTGAGGGGAAAAAAACGAAGTTTAAACAGTAGTAAAGACGACACAACATTATTTATTATGTGCATAAACCTGAGTAATTTAAATATGATGGTTGAGGCCTCATCGTATTATATATCATTTGAAAATGTGTCAGATTAAGTAATTAAATACCAGGGTTAAGAAACTACAATATTACATGAAATCCAAATTTACTTGGCTAATTTAAACTTTAACTCTACAGGGTTGTTTATCATGCAAATTTTCCTTATTAATTTAAATCTCGAAGTTAGGACCCCACAGTTTTATTTATTTATTTCCCAGTGTGATTGAAATATTACAGTTAACACTCTGCAATATATATATAAACTAGAGATGCGCCGATCCGATACTGGGTATCGGTATCGGGCCGATACTGGACGAAAGTACGGTATCGGATGATTTACTTCACAGTGGTAACTGGCCGATCCAATACCGCCACACACACACACACACAATCCTGCCTTCCGACACAGCCACGTGTTCGTCTGCTCATTGACTACAAGTGTACAGCGTCAGAGAGTGTCTGCAACCCGACTGGTCGAATCTACAAGGGTGGAACTTGTCCGTACCGGGTTGACTGTCTGAGACACTCCATTGGCCCTTCAGGCTGTCACTCACCCCCAAAGCCCTCCTATTGGCCAAACTAGGTGTCAATTAAAAGCTGAGCCGTCCGTCTAGCTGACTGTAGCGCCTTCAGCGCGATCTAAAATAGATTCAGGCTGATTTTTGCAGAAGAAATGAATAAAACAGCCGGAGCTGATCTCAAGCTGGGAAGACATTACTTCAGAATTTGTGCCTTTGAGGATCGAATACGTTTTACGGATCGAATTATTTTACGGGATTATGTTGACTGGTTCTGTCCGGACAGAATGAGACCAAGCTGGTGAGGAATGAGCGATGTTTGAGCTGCAGATGTAACAGGATCAGTCATATAGCAGCAGTTTCATATTAAATATATATGTATTGTATTTTTTTAATTATTACTTTTAATCAATAGAATTCCACAAAATCTAGCTTGCTTTGGTTTTGGTGTGGAACCTTTCACTTTGGGGTCTTAGTACCCCACGTTCGTTTTTTTGGTTACCCACCGTACCCCTATAAAGGAGTTTTTCCCGCCTTGCCTCTCCCCTTTTGTACATGTATCTGACGGGAGAGGTAAGCGAGACTGTGCTGCTGTTGTCTGTGTCAACCGATGTACATAATTTCATTTATAAGTTTATTTTCCCAGTTCTGATATGTTGTTCTGTCATTTAATTTCTGTAACAGTACAAGCTGAGACTGACAGCGGATTTTATGGTTGTTTTGTCGTCTGTCAAGGTATGTATTGTATTTACTGTATGAATGAATGGTGAATGTTTCCCGCCTTACGCGGCCCCCGCCCCTTTTGTACATGTATCTGATGGGAGAGTACAAGCTGAGACTGACACTGGATTTTGTGGTTGTTTTGTCGTCTGTCAAGTTTGTCCATTGTCAATAAACGAGATCGCATCAAAAAGGAGACTCATCACAACGCAGTGTCAAGACTCCACCGGTTACACAGAGAGCCTTCAAAAGTAAGAAAACTCGGATTTTAACATTTTGCTTTTCTGTACAAAAAGCTCTTTGTGTCAACGCTGTGGTTGCTGCAGGTCAAAAAGGTTTATATCATCGGAAAGAGGAGACTCTGAGCTTTCATTTGATGTGTATGTTGTCGGGAAACGTGATTGTGGAGCATGCACACATCTGGCTGTAATGTGTTTGGAAAGTGGTCCCGCCGGCGGGACGTGGGAGCGGTAAGGGGTTAAAAATACTCTTCTTAAATATATATTTTTTAAAAATTGGAAGTATATTTTGAGTGAAATCACCCTTTAAAACTACGTCGCGCACCCGAACTAGAAGCCGTGCACTTATCCGGCCGTAGCAGACGAGTCCAGCCTCTCCGTGCAGCCCTCTACCAGCAGCCTGTACGTGGCTCCGGCTCTGCAGACAGAACCTTCCTATTGGATCCGATCCCACAGCAGGTCACAACGTTTCCGGCCTCATTTACTACTGCTCATGCGCAGAGCCCAGAGCGGCTATTAGTGGTACTATTATTTAATACCAAGTTTTGGTAATTTAACCTTTAAATTGCAGCTTAATGTTGCTGTGTCATTTTGATCTGTTCTAAATATGTGAATGGCACTGAGTGCACACTGTAGTCTGATTACAGCTCAAATAAAGCAGCTACAGTTTCACTTTGAGACATGCTTTTGGCTGTTTTTTCCTTTCTTAGAAAAGCAAAGTCTATGCTTTAATAGTATGAGGCTTTTGATAAAGCCATCTTAAACAAATGTATCCATGCAAATAAGGTATTTCCAAAGAAGTTTAGGAGGAGAGATGGTATCGGAATCGGTATCGGCAGATACTCAAAGTTGAAGTATCGGTATCGGTATCGGAAATCAAAAAGAGGTATCAGTCCATCCCTAATATAAACTATATAAAAAATGCAAATTTACCTCATTAAATTATGTATTGGGATAAGAGCTCCTACAGTATTATCAATTATTCACATTTACCAGACTAATTTAAAGATTAAGATTAAGATCCCACAGTGTAATTTAATATAAATTTGACTGAGCCTTGACGATCTGAAATACAATGGTTAAGGCCGTAGAGCATTATATAAAATATAAATTTGCCCAACTAATTAAAATCTTAAGGTTAAGAACCAATAGTTTTATTTAATATGTATATGTCAAGGAGTAATTTAAATATCATTATTGGGATACTACAATCTAATTTATTTTGCAAATTTACTGGAGTCCTTTCTATAATGTGGGAAAGACCCTACAATATTACATAAACTATAGTTTCATTATTTAAAAAAAAATAAAAATCCTCCATGTTTTTAAAATGTCATCAAAATCTAATAAAGTAAGTCTTGCCAACGTAACTATGATTTTGATGTAACATTATTAGCCCGACCCAGCTGTGCAAATATGCTGATATATAGGAATATAAACACCGACTTGTATCATGCAGACAGTATAGTGTCATAGTTTTTATCTCTATTTAACAGTGGAATAGAAACGTGCACAAATGTCAAATGATTGAATAAAATAGATGAGTAAAAGGTTCATTTATAGAGAGAAACTAGGGGAGAAAGAAGGCAAGAAAAGATATTTTAACGTCCTCACAGTGAAGCTATTTACATGCACATTTGTGTTAAAGTCTTCCTGGTTTTTATCTTATTCAGGATATGACATTTATGTCAAACATGAGAAACCTTGTTATTAATATGCCTGCATACATGAGTGTTTTCACATGTGCACCAGTTTTGTGCTGGTTTTTATCATGTTCTGAATATGATGTTTACATAGAGCATGAACAATGTGTTTATTCATAAACTTGTATACATGATCATAACATTATCCAGGTTTCTGATCGTCTGCCGGCGCCATGTCCTGATTTCTCTCATATCTCATCTGCTCCAGTCTGAACCAACAAGGAACGTTGAACAGACACATAGATGAGGTGGAGATGCTCGAACGTGTTCAAAACATAAGCAGGACACTCCACAAAACAGATCATAAACACGAGAGCAGTGTGCATGTAAACACACTGGTTGATTTTAACAGTGTCCAGGTTTTTGATCATCTGTCTGCAGTTGTGTCTTGATGTCTCTCATATCTCAGCCAAAATCCTCTGCAGCAAACTGTAACCTGGCTTCTATTGGAGTGTCCAGGTATCATATCCAGGTTTCTGAAACCACAATAAGATGTTTATACGTCCAAAATGTAACCAGGATACTAGTGCACATGTAAATACACCCACTGACTGAAACAGTGTCCAGGTTTCTGATCAGCTGTGCTCTTGTCTCTATTGTGCACCTACAAAAAATGTTCATAAACATTTATATGAGCAACACATAAACAGGTTACTTCAAAAAGCGCACCATAATCTTGTATTTAGTGCTTAGAAATGCAGTCAGTGAGCCAGCATGCACAGCACCAAGCATCCATTTAAAAAAAATCAGCCATCACAAATCTTCTTTATTAGATTGAGACTTTTTTGAGGCATTCCATTATATTAATATTGTTTATGAGAAAAATGTGAACACTAATGGTGATTTAAAGTGTACACTTACAAAAAGGACATTTCCTCTAATATCAGAGGTAGCACGTGTGCTCAAAGAGTTCTCTTTTATTTGTTTCAGCTGCTGGTTTTCAGTTTTTTTGTTTTTTTATGCTAGACTTTAAGTTCCCACAGAAAAGGCAAACATCAGTGTAATTAATAGAAAAAAACAATGGCTCTGTTTTATTTAGGTAATCCATAAGGCTATGCCAGTGAGCACATTACCTGAACCCCGGAGCTACAACACTGACTGAATGCAGCCTTTACTAAGATTATTAATTACACCTGTGTTTTTTCTGCTCGTACATATGAAAGTGTGCGTAATGATGAAGATCTGTTGTTTATCCTACACTCTGTTGCCTCTCAGCGTTTGCCTGAGGTGGATCACATCCAACTGTAA